ACATCTTGTTACACTAGTATTTAAGAATATTACCTTTGCTTTTAGTGTTGTACCACCGTTCCTTCATTTAAGAAAATACACTATTATTGAGATTTTAAGAACTGAGTCTCCTGTCAGTGTGTTTGTTATATTTCTCACATGTACGACTGTATGACTGTCCACTAACTCTGTATACTTCTATTTCTATCCCTTTCTACCAGGCTGCTAATGCAGGGAAGTCTCTGTTCTTGCTGTACGCACTAAAGCGCTCCCCTCGTCTCACACTCTTCTATCTGTATTTATTCGACTACTCGGAAACCTTCCTGCCCTTCCTCCACACCTGCTGTCCAGCCATCACACACATCGACCACTCAGTGGAGAGCAGCTTCCTCAACACACAGGTGAGAGACTAATACGGTATCATTAAATCTAAAATCTAAAAATAAAGAGGTCAAATAAAGTAGGTGCATTCATATACGCATTATGTTCCGGTTACTGCTGATAGTCAGAGTGAGATGCTGCTGTGAGCTTAAACATGGCTTTAAAGGGTAAGGGTGGTGATATTTTGTACTTTTATGGGGGAAGATGACCTGGATCCACCACCACTTTTTGCTGTCAACAAATTCTATTAAAAGACTAAAACCAGCAACGATTCAGTCAGTTTCTTAATATTTTTCACTTCCCTCCTCAGTGTCTCTCAGCCTTACACCAGTGTGTTCCTACTGAAGATGTGAATCTTTAAAATGGGTTACAAATAGATACTTTCATTAAAAAAAAAAGAAGATAACTTTGTAAAACAGCCGGGTTGGTTCAGCTTAATAATTGATTACAGTATGTAGTGAAACATAGGTGATGGATCCAGGTCATCTTCCTCCATGCTCTTCTTGACACATAATGTAAAGTAAAATAATACAATAATTAATATTATATGTTAACAGTAATCAGTGAGAAAGCTCACAGCTAGAACTATTTTAAATTAACATCTGATGTAAATATACTGTGTTGAGGGTTTAGACGTTGGCTCTTACTGTAAAAAATAACTTTAACTCAACTGTCTCACATTAATAGATTTTATTAATTGTTAAAAAGCACTTTTCAACTGTCACCTTTTGTTTCCTGTGATGTTCCTGTATTTGTTAGTTGGAGCCCAGTTGGCGACAGTGGGCGGAGTTTCTCGTAAAGTACCTCCTGCTTCCATACCAGCTGATAGCAGAGTTTGCTTGGGACTGGCTGGCCGTCCACTACTGGACATCTCGCTTCATTATTGTTAACACCATGCTGCTGTCTGTGCTGGAAGGCTGCGCTCTGTGGAGACTCGGGACGAGAGCCAGGATCAGGTAGACACTGGGTTTGTTTTTTCTTACACACAGTTACATATAGACATGTGTCCACTACAGTAACGACCCGTACCCTGGAGCTCCTCATAACCTAAATATAAAGGCTTTCAGACGAAGAGTTTGGATTGGAACCACTGTGATCGGATGCGTCATTAACAGAGGGCGTTGCACAATGCATAACAACCTGTACAATATGACACGCCCACTTTGGTTCCCAAGGAAAACCTGCTGTTTTTTTTGTTCCAGCTGGGAACCAACTTTTGAGTGTCCAAAACAAAGTATTTTTTAGTGGAAATGCTCCAAACGGTTCAAAACTAGGTGCTGGAATTGGAAGAGAGCCGTGGTGAACATGCGTGGCTCATTGCTGCGTTTATGGGTCAGCTTACTGCGGCGCTCGCTCTGTGACCATGGCAACCACAGTAACAACAGACAGGTGAAAGATACAGCGACTGATTTACTCTGAATTCCCTGAATTGTAAATCGGCAGACACCAGACAGATCGATGTAACCACTGTAATCGGATGCGTCAGACAGCATGGGAGCAACAACAGCGCTGTTCATGATACATGATGCCATTTCTTCTATTTGAGCTACAACCTGCTGTGTTGAGATTACATTATGTAGATAGCAGCAGCTGTGGTGTGCAGGCTGGTAGGATTGGAAACTTGTACTGAGAATGAGAGATGATTTGCTAAAGCAACAGTGCAAAACATTATTAGAGAAAGGTGTCAAAATATTTTCAGTTCATTATGAAAGTGTGGGATCGGAAGTCAGAGAGTGAACAAGAGCCTTTCACGTAACTCAAGGAACCTTTACAGTGGAAGTAGAAGAAGGTGACGAACAAAGAACGCTAGCATCCTCTAACCAGCACAGATTAAAGATTCATTTTTCAAGGTTTTGTTTCTGTTGCCTTTTGTTTAAAGATTTCTACACTACTGAATGTAACAATAAGTCAAATTATGACTGAAAAAGATTCCTTTATTCCTCAGACAGAAATCTACTAAATATATTTTCTCCTTTTTTATTTCCGAGGTGGGGTATAAACTGTTGATGGTGCATTCTCAGTTTCACCTTCTTACAGCTACTGAAACTGTAAAGTCAGCAGTATAAAGAGTATCCCAACTGTCTCGCAGTATATTGTTACATCCTTTATTACAGGCGTATGTAATTATTAAGTTAAGCTACATGTTAAGTTCCAGGTTGGCTGCATGCACTTAAACACTAACTTGTACCTTCCACTTCCCTTAGGTCTCTGCCACGCAAGATGTGGAACCACTTGTGGAAGATGTTATCTCAGGGGTTTGCCTTCGCCCTCCTGTGGCCTTTTGTCCCTCAGTTTGTGTGCAACTGCCTCTTCTACTGGGCTCTCTACTTCAGTCCCATTATTAATATAGACTTGGTGGTGCAGCAGCTAATGCACCCAGAAACACAGGCACTGTAACAAACTGCATGTAATCAGTGCCCCATTAAATGCCGTACAGTTCACAGCAAACAAAACAGCCAGAAATCCGGTTGCTGAGGAGGAGAAGTGTTTTTTTAGCAGAAACAATCACACGAAACTGGCTTATTTGCTGTTGGAAAGGGAGTTTTCTCGCTTCCTGTCTTGTTTCTCTGCTGGATGGTTGTGCCGTGTGGAACAAGAAAGGCACTGAGCTATTGTAGGAGAAACAAAAATCAACGAGATGAGAAACAGCTGAATATCTGTGGTGTTATTGATTAGGAGATATTACTGCAGTGATCGGTCTCTCTGCGTGCTCAGTGCATTCACAAACCACATTGCCTAAATGGTCCAGAGGGCAGTTATGCAAATGATAAGTCGTGTTCCAACACTGGTGGTAGTAAAGACTGGCCTCATGAGGAGTTTTCTGATAGCTTTGTAGCACTGAGATGGGTGTAAGCTTTGTTTTAAATGCATATACAGACTTGGCTGCTGAACAGGAATCAATAAATTCATTTGTTTTAATTAAATGTCTTAATGGCATGCAGGCCACAGCCAGCTGAAGGTCCAGTGTGTAACATTTCAGTTGATCTATTGGAAGAAATATATATAAATGTAATTTTTTTTAGGTGAGTGGTTATCCAGTTACCATAGTTGCAGTCTGCAACTTCGTCACTAGATGCCACTAAATCCTACACACTGGTTCTTTAAATGAACAGCTGCTGCTCTAAAAGTATCAGCTCGAATGAAAACAGTATTATAGTGAGTTAAATGTATATAAATCCTTATTCTGCATACATTTTGGATGCGTTCTTTGGGTCGTCGGCGTGCTTCCAGCTTTGACTGCGATCTCGGTGCTGTAGAGCTGTCGGAAAATTCTCTGTGCGAGGTTTGATAACATGATTGTGAAACGTGTCAATGCTGGGTTTTGTAGTTCTTGCAGACTGATGGGAACATCAGGCTTTAATGTTGAGTCGAAGGGAAAACAAAACCATCTCACAAAAAACGCGGCACTTAGATTTGAAATATAGGTTGAAAAACTTTTTTTAGATGCTAAAAAATATCTTTTCTAATTTTTATGATTTTACGGAGAAACCGTTTGTAGCAGATTTTATTTGCTGTTAATGCTGACAAATATTGCTTTGCACATTTTTTTTTGTTTGCAGTATAAATGTTCATGTTATGGGTGATTGAAGCCAATTAAAGACTTTTTTTTACATAGTTCATTTGCACTTAAAGATTTGACACTGTGATTTTGTTCTTCAATGTTCTCTAATGACAAAGTACAAATAAAGATTTTTAAATAATGTTTTACTGTTGTGTGGATTTGTTTATCTTAAAATGTAGTAAAGTTAAGAAATTAATTTATATAAAGCTGCTGTATGTGCATTATAAAAATTACATATCTAACATATCACCCATGTACTGCACCTGAGGAAAGCAACACAGACAAGCCATTTGTCAATACCCTAACTTTTATTTTTAGCCTTGTTTTTAATTAAAATATTTCCTGACCATGATTTAATTGAATATACAATTACAATTTAAAAAGGCAAATTATACACAATAACTAAACCAGACTAAATACGATACAAAATAGAATAAAAGAAACAGAATAGAGACTTGGGGGCAATAAAGTTAAATCTTATATGCACTGTTTGTACAATGTACAGTGATAGTACCCAGTAATATACTGTACATTATTGCTCAAATATTGCTAAAGGCTCTTGTCAGTGAGTATTTAACAGAATTAACCATACAATATATGGATAATTTACACCTTATGGATGGTTATCTTATCTAAATAGTGAGATACATAAGTGTAATCAATAAATATTTACTTCCAGTGAGCAGTATTTCCTAGTTCTACCAGTAAAGTTTTACTTTATAGTTATACTGTGTCATTATTAGACTGTCTGTGACCTGTTAAGTAGTTAATTAATTAGTTTAGTACTCATTTGTAAGTCAAAATGTAAAATAATAAGTTTGATTGATAAAAATCTGTAGAACGACCTCCATGGCGCCCTCTGGTGCCTGACAACCGCCATGGCAACAACGGTTGTCGCCATAACAACGTAGGGACTGTCCCAAAAGAGCACGTAAAACTCAATACGCAAAAAAAAACTACAAATGTAATTATAATTACTGCGGACGAATTCAAACATGATAATGATTGAAACTGGTCCCAATCCACATTAAACACAAGCCTATCCAAACATAAATCCTATTTTTATTTTTTTTCTGTACCCTGGTTACCATGGCAGTCTTAAAAACTAACGGCGCGTTTTCAAACCGCCCACAGCACTTTACCGTCCCTCCCTTACGTCATTGTCGCGGAAGTGAAAAGTCTACGTGGGGAAGAAAGGTTGGTCTGACCGCGTTTGAATACCTTTCACACCCGCTGCACCGATGTCCAATCCAGGTTAGCTGTGTGTCCTCCCTCCTTGTCGAAACACCGTCTCCCTCCCCCCCTGCCCCCGTTAGTCAAATGGACTCGGTGAGCAGCAGCCGGAGCGTATAAATGGGACGGAGAGCCGCCGACAGCCTGTAATGCTGCGCCGGGTGCGGCAGTCTCTCCGGCAGGTGCTGTTTCTGATGGCCCGGAGACCGGCTCTCCTCTGCGGGGCTATCGTGCTCGGCGTCCTGCTCATACTGGCCGTCAAATTCACATGCAGGTGAGAGCAGCGGAAACAAGCAGCGCTTCTGTTACTGTTGTTGTGAGCTTGTGTTTTTATTTTTATTTTTTTTGTGATCAGGCGTATGTGAGACGTCCTAAACATTTTAACTGGTTACTTTTGCTGAGAGATAATGTTGTTGTAGCACTAAAACAGCGTGAATGAGCTATTCCTTATGTTAATCTAGCTACTTTGGACCAATTAGGGTGTTCATTGTGTTGAGCAGCTGATCTGAGACTGTCTGTGTACTGAAGGAGAGGATTAACTAATGCTTTAAAGCGTTTAAACAGACCGTGGACGACCCGTGTAATGCTTATTCATTGAAGAGCACAGTGATAACAACCATTGCTCTGTAGTGAAACATCCTCCAGCTGTGGAGATGACAGCTGTGACTGAGGACTGAAACTTGCAGACAAATGATCTCAGACACATCCTGCTCCTCAGCCAGTAGTTACTTCAGTAAAACATATGACTTAAGTACAAGTATGAATGTATAACAAGCTTGAATCTGTACAGAGTAGTCAAGACATCACCTTCAAGGCTTTGGGAAAGTGTAAAGCACATATTATAGAGCAGAAACTATTGACAGATTAATCGATAGTTGCAGCCACAAACCGATTGGGGCCTCCGTTATGTTATACAGCTGAACTTAAAGGTTTTTTTTAATATAAAATATCAGAAAATTGTGAAAAGACGCCCATCACAAGTCCCCAGAGCCCCGACCAACAGTCCTAAACCAACATTTATTCAATTTACAACAATAAAAAAACAGCAAACCAGAGAATTTCTGTCATTTTTGCTAAATAAATTATTTAAACTTATACTAGTTGTTGCAATTGCTGGACGATTAATCTTCTGTAGGTCAACTAATAAATGAATTGACGAATGTTTTGAGCGCTGAGCAATACAGACTCATCTCCCAGTGATCCCAGCAGTGGAGATGAAACCTGGGCGGACTGAAACACACAAATGATCTCACGCTGCCTCTCGAGTGCTTCACTCGACGCAGGAAACTTCGGTGTCAGCCTTTCATGTTTTTGTGTTTCTCTTTCTGCAGCCGTGCCAAAAATGTGGTGGCAACAGCTCGGCCTCCGGTGCGGTTCTTCTCTGCCGAGGCCCCGGTAGTGGACCTCTACTTGGGTCAGCTAGACCAGGTGAGATTCAAGGACACACACCTGAGTCAGTTATGAGTGTTCCTGCAATTTCCCCTCATTAGATATTTTCAAATCTGCTTGGTAGGCTTCATGTATTATTATCCGTGGCAGTGATCAGAATCAGAGTTTTGTTTATTGCCAAGTAGGTTTTTACGCCTATGAGAATGTTTCCTGGTGCCGTTGGTGCATGAAATATACAAATACAAATATGCAAATATACAAAT